AAGTTTGTGTGCCAAAAACCAAAAAGAACACAATTTTACTCCAATATTTAGCAGAGGTTGGCGGTGAAATGGCTACGTAGAAAGTGTCAAAACAACCTTAGGTAAATAGCCCGTGATGTCTACTTTATATAAATATATACTTTTGTGTGGCAATTTTGTTTTCTTTTATGGCTATTACGCTTACAAGACAAACATACCAAATTCTAAAGTCGCTCCACATTAAAAGTTTATTTTACTCCTTGTGCTTTGTGACCTGTAACTACCAAAAAAAAACTTAAAATCCCAGACACATTATATATTCTGTAAATCAGAATAAATAAATTTATTTTTAATTACTTTCCTTAACCTGCACTAATTATGCACACATTATTATTGCAAAAACTGTAAAAAAAACAATATTTTTCATTTTTTTTGCATTTTTCTGTATTTTTTTTATAATAAGTAAGCATTTATATATATATATATATATGTTATATCAAATTAAAGCCCTTTCTGTCCTTTAAAAAACAGTATATAATATGTGTCGGTGCAATAAATGAGAGAGATGCAAATTGCAGTTGAACGCAAACAGCAAGAAAATGCAAAAATTGCTTGTGTCATTAAGCGTAAGTCAAGCTTCTGAAGCTGTGTCCTTAAGGGGTTAAAGAGGTAGGCCTCGGAAATTCCTACCTAAATGTCATGTATTTCCTTCTGGTAACATTAGTTTCAAGTTATCACCCTACCAGGATATGATTTTCCCCTGCGGGTCATTCGTGCTGGCCCTGTTTGAGCGGTGATACCCCAGATAGCTATGCCATGGAGCCCATTCGTATAATGAAAGACTATGGGAAAGACTTTGGCTCCATGGCAATTGAACTGTATGTGTGTGTTCTGAGCGCCATTCAGTAATAATGTGCGCTCAGATCTGAGCTATCTGGGGATATGTTGAATGTACCTGTTTTGTGCAATGGCTGCACAGTTATATGTTTTTATGTGTTTTATTGTCTTTTGCTGCCATGTGTTCAAGGGAGTTTTGCCTCTGTCCTTGGAGATAATTGGATTACTTCCCAATTATCTCCAGGATAGAAGACTCTGTGGAACTGGTTTTGGGCAGAAAAACCATGCTTCCTTTGGTCACAAAGGATTACGATCTATCTTTAGAACCACTGGACCAATTTGGATGATTTTGACATATGTTTGTATTTGGAGTATGCTGATTCTGAAAGTGTAAGTTATGTGAATGTGATGCATACTTTTCAAGTTATGAATAATGTGGAAACATTGTATTTCTCTGCTTGTGATAATTACATTACCCATTGTGTAAGGTAATTGTATCACAGGCAGAGGGGAGGATTTTGTGTGGGAGTGTCTGAGTGTATTGTATGTGTTTATTGGTTGTGCTCCAAAACCCTGTGGGTGGTACTAAATGTATATATAAGAACAATAAACCCACAGCTCTGGCTGTTCACTGCTTGACCCTCAAAACAGAGCCTTGTCTAGTTCTTGGGGGGATTTATTGTATGCTGTTCCAGTTTGACTGCTAGGAGTGTAAACCTATTCGTATGGTTTTTCCTATTCGGCTGTTTACGGCATTCATATGGTTTTCTGTTCGGCGGATTGGTGTTCTGCAGTAGCTATGCCTGTGTCTCTGGAAGGGAAGATCTACTAAACTGCAGATCTATATGGTACCTTACTAACCAAGTCATCTGCCGCACTTCCTTAGCATATCTAACGCTTCTATACAAGGAGACGTTCTTTAAGTTACCAGCACCCATCTCAGTTTAGGCTCACAGAGAGTACTATACAAACACCGACTGGGGTCAGTTACACACGGAACAGTTTCTAAGGCATTGTTAGGGTCTCAAAACACCTTCCTGCGCCATTGGCTCAGCAACAGCCCATACAATCAAATTTCATCCTGAAAACATAGCTATTCCCTCTACCAGTAAGCCAACGGTGATTATCAGTCCAACACATCCCAGAGGGATTTTAAGACAAAGTAGGCAGGCCAATTTGGTTTTCTAGGTGAAGCACAAGTCTGCAATAATTTCAATGTCGGTGGTTGTAGTTATAGTGCTGGTAGGCTTCTTCACGTGGGCTCACTTTGTTTCAGTGCACACGCCAAAAACAATGTGCCCCTACAGGCGTTACCCTAAATCTTCCACCCCAATAAACTTTCCTAATCTACAACGCTACCTGTCTACTCATCCTTCTTTATACCTGGTAGAATTTCTCACGTCTACTAACGGGTTTTACACAGGGTTTGTGTCACTCCACATAGGTATTTTGGAGCTACAGTCATCCTACAGTCAGCACTCAGTTCCCATCAGAGTACAAAACTCTTACTTAATGAAATCACCAACGGTTTCTTGATAGGGCCTTTCACAACACTACCTTTTCACCTACTGGAGGACAAACCCCTAGGAATCGCCTCAGGGAATTTTACATTTTAAAAAGACTTGATTTTTCTGCACCTCACTCAGCCACTTCTCCTAGCTTAAATACTCTGTCCCTGTCATAAGTTTTCCTTCGCCAGAATTGACAAGGCCATACAAGCAATCATTCATTCCAGGAAGGTTGCCTGGCTATGTAAATTAGACTTTACTAACACGTGTAAATTAATACCAATTCTTCAATCTGGCATCTGCATGGAGTTAAGTGGGAAGATAGCCACTATTGCGTTACCATTCCAACATTCAGCTCCATATGTAGCCCAAGTTATGCGATATCTTGGCTGAAACCTTAAACCTGGCTCCTATGGAACATATGCAGATGTCCATTAGTCTTACACTACAACTATCTCACCATTGAACCACACCAAAGCACGCCACGCAGCCTGAATCACATGTTCACTCTGTTCAAAGATTAGGAGTACCCGTAACCCGGACAAAACAGATCACATTCCCGGGGTTTACACTCAGTTCTATTTCTATGCAGGCCAACCTGCCACAAGTGTAAGTAGATAGAATTCTTTCTTACATCAACATCTGCACGTCACAAGACCCTTGCACCAGGAATCAGCTACAGTCACTACCCGGTTCACTCAAATTTCCAGAATCCTCGCTCTCTTGCATGGTCTCCCTGTCGACGACTCCACAGCTCTCTTAGACAAACCAGCTAGAGATGATATTAAGAAGGTGGCGTCTGTTCCTGTCCTCTTGGGATGGCAGGTCACTACTTGTTCCCAATTTGACAATTCCTCTGTGGTCTGGACTGACAAATTGAGCTGAAGTGGTCTGGGTGCCTATAGTGGTCCTTTAAGTTAAGAAAGCCTATTCCAAGAGTGCATCAGTTGTTTAAAGGTTTGTTAGTGTTTATGGTGTGATAAATGTTTCTATTTGTAACTATGGTTGCATTTACAACTTTTGCCACTTTTCTCCTAAATTAATTTACAATACTATTAAACGTTACTTCACAGGCAGACACATCATACCAAAACAAGTCATACTGGTCCTCTAGTAGAGATTAAATATTATCCTATCTAGCAAATCAGGTCCTATCCACATTTTGGATAATCTATTGGAATCTCAACTTACTTCCATCTCTGATTCGCCACTATCAGCTTTTCAAAGGAAACCCCTAACCAATAAACGTTTTATGCTTTACATTCGTACAATATCACTCCAACTAGGACATAACCCTCATTCCGTCTCAGGCCATTTATTCTGCATTGGAGCAGCCACAGCAGCCTCCGGTAATCACGAACCAACTCAAATCATAAAATATGGGTTGGGGGAAATCATCCGCATACAACAAATACATCCCCAATCCAGAGAAAGAAATAAGACTGGCTTTCTGTAAAATGTCTAAATAATGATCTGCTGAATAAGTATCTGACTTGTAAGAAATCACTTATAATTTTGCCCTCTTTTACAGGTCTAACCTCACATAAGTTTCGTCACACCTCAACTGACTCTGCTCTTACTATTATTGCTTCTTTATTATTGTTCCTTACGTCCTCGAAATGTGCCGTACACAAATATATAACCTAACCAACAGGCATTTCTCAGATTACCCCCACACAAATGATTTCACAAGTCCTTGCATCTGTCTCTGGTATAAGGAAGATATTTATAGCATTCCTGGGTATGCTAGAGAGCAAGATCTTGTGATCAATAAGATTATTTACGTAAACTCAGTCCAGTGCCAAACTGCTGCAGAGACAAGTTGTACAGTATAAACATAGGAATAAAAAGGGAAAACAGAACAGATTAAACAAGTAGAGGGAATAGGCCCACTAGATAACAGAAGGGTTGAGGTTTAGAAATCACTGGGATAAATTGGGAATAAACAGATTAGCCAAATTGTACTGTGTTCAAAGCCTGGATTTTACAAAGCAGATGACAAGTTAGTGCATCTGGACTGCGACTGGATACGCTGTTCTTGATCTGGTTAGAGAAAGCCTAAACTATGTGCAAAAAGTAACAAACATTAAGCAAGTAGCAAGACTTGGCAGTGAAGGCATGGGCCCCACCAGGTTTCCCATGTGCCCAGGCCAACAAGGGAGATCATTTCATGCCCCCTGCTGGTCTACACAATGGTGTCTTTGATGTCTGCCCTCCCAGCCAGTGGGCGTTTAACCCAGGAGAGGAGGGGATGACTGATACAGGAGGCAGATGGTCCTTGAGCAGGCTGTGTGGAGTGTTACCATGGCAAAGTTACTAATCAGTGAGTGACACCAGATACATTGTGGGGACCAAGAAACAAGGTTTTAGAGCAATGCTGTGACACTTTTCAAATACAAGAAGTCACGGCCAACTAGATGGCACCCTGATCATCATTACACCCAGTCACCTCAATGCAGATTCACCTGCTCAATATTGAAATTGCCAACAAGTCTCTGGCTTGGAGTTAGTCCAGTGTAGAGATGGGCCATAGCATAAACACAATGACCCTTCCTGAGAGTGTGTGGGTTACAGGATACAAGTAACAGACACCAATAATGCAAGAATGTTTGAGGATCCCTTTTACATTACACAACTCAGTGGATATATACTCCTAATACAACACTGATTTCAGGACTATTGAACACAGGTAAGTGGGTTTGAACTATGGTTCTCTATCCTGAGTTTATAAAGAGACCGAGCCAATGGTTTGTAGTTCTCTTGGGAGACCATGAGGTCAAAACAACTGGCTCCTTTCCATATTCCCTCTACAGTAGTTTCATAGCCAAACATGGTTTTGGCCCTGGCACGGTAAGGCACATCCATTTTTCCCTTCATGATGGAAGCTTTGACACGTACACTGGTGTGTGGTTCCAATGTGACCTCTGTAGTAGCAGAGAAGAGAGTCTGTAGGGGGACAGAAGAGAAGCAACCTTGTAAAAGAGCATACTGATCTTTAGGAAAAGCAATATGGATTTTTCTTACAATACAGAGAACAAGAGTCAGGTAGTTTGATAGTCATGCTGTGCCTAGAACAAACAGAAGAACACAAGACAAAATTATGGGAGCAGATACAGTAATCCTAATAAGGATTAGGCATATTTCCATAGATCACTCAGCCAGTAATAGACCACAAGGATTCATCTGAAGATTTAATTTAGCCTTCAACCTTTATAAACAAGTCAATGGATTGGAGGATAGTGGTGCAAACTCTGAACACTGGGATATTGCAAAAGTCTTACCAAGTACCATCACCAGCATTTTATGGCTTATGGCTGTTGTCGGTCCATATCTGCTTTTTTTTTTAAAGCAAGACTACAGTTTAAGCATTTTGCTTCTTCCCTGCCTCATCACCTGTTCAACGCAAGCATATTTGGTAGAATGGATCTGTAACATCACATACCAGCTACAGTACACACCTTTGGCTGTGTTTTCCATGCAAGTTTATTTCAAGTATAGTAAAGCAGGACTACCCAATTGGTAGAGCTAAAACTCCTGGGAATCTACCTATTGAGCAGCTCTGCGGTAAAGGCTTCTGTATTGCCAAGCTTGCCATTAATATAAATCCAGTAACTGAACTACAACTTTCAGAAGCCTTTTCTCTGGTCACTTCCTCATCTAGACATCTGCTGGCTTCCAGGCAGGAGAAATTGCAAGGCAGTAACCTTATGTGCATCTCAGCAGCTACTGCTCCTTTAGACTGGTCAACTAGGTTTTAAGCTACTACTGGCAAATACTATTTATATCCCTCATCTCAAATCAGTAAATAATACCCAGTCCCATTACCTCGATTTCATTGGTTGTGATAAAGTTCCTGGTATGAGATGTACTAGTGTTGACTGAAATCTTCCCCTCTGTTTCAGCTATGAAGGGGATCCCAGCTTTAAAAGTCAGCTCTGCTCCAACCTGAACTGTGAATCCATGTTCCTGGCTGAAGGTGCTGGTAGTTTTTTCAGTTTTTGAAACCCTAGCATGAGAGAACAGGGACAGGGTTAGTTTCTTTTCTCAAACAGACTAAACCAGTCTAAGCTTGTACAACACATCTACTGTGTGATTGCTTTAGAGGGCTTCAGTTTACCTTGTGTCATTAAGGGGGTTATAGTGACCTAGCTTCCAGAAGCCATTTTAACACTGACTCAAGGCAACACAAAGCAATCGGGGCATACAGTTACACCATAGTCCTGCCATGACTATTCTTGGACTACGCAGACAGATGCACACAGTTCTACATCTGAATCTGATTGTAAAGAAGCCAAGTCTAAGACCATATTGTCTAAGAAATACATTGGGCAAATGTGTGAATACAACCCTACAAACATTGTTCTTACAAGCAGCATTCACACAAACATGGATTGTGGGATAAAAAAAAAAAAAAAATATATATAACCAGGAAAGGTTAAAGGATCTTAACATGTATAGCTTGGAGGAAAGACGAGACAGGGGGGATATGATAGAAACATTTAAATATATAAAGGGAATCAGCACAGTAAAGGAGGAGACTATATTTAAGAGTAGAAATCAACAAGAGGACAAAGTCTTAAATTAGAGGGACAAAGGTTTAAAAATAACACCAGGAAGTATTAATTTACTGAGAGGATAGTGGATACATGGAATAGCCTTCCAGCTGAAGTGGTAGAAGTTAACACAGTAAAGGAGTTTAAGCATGCATGGGATAGGCATAAGGCTATCCTAACTATAAGATAAGGCCAGGGACTAATGAAAGTATTTAGAAAATTGGGCAGACTAGATGGGCTGACTGGTTCTTATCTGCCGTAACATTCTATGTTTCTATGTTAAACATGCAACCTTACAGGATGCTTTCCCCAACTAGCAGTTTCTTTGCTTGCAACAGACAACCCTGTCCCTATGACAGGAATGGCAGAAATAGGAACACCATCCCCAGAAAACACATTTGAAGCTAGTCAATAAGTTTTCTCTCTCCAAGCACTCTCCAAAAAGGGCATCAAAGTGAGGCACATGTAATTGGGGAGAACATACGCTTGATAAAGAAGCAGTAGGGCCAAAACATTGCTGCTTTTTCCCCAATAAAGCTGCTATTTTAGTTATCACAGAGTGCTTGAACCACTATTCTGCATATATTGGTGGGGACATGTCCACACTGTCTTTGCCCTCTTGAGTTGGCTTTAAACAGGAATGTGTCCTAGTCCAATGTGGAACCCATAGAGTTACCTATTCTGGAATGAGGTTTACCTGAGGTCTTTACTTACGTAAAGGTATATTTAAGAGGAGCATCACTGGTGTTTGTGAAGGTTTCATTTTTCAGCACTGTAGGGTCTTGGGATACAATTTTACCATCATCTGGAAGGAATGCAAGGCTCTCAATACTGGAGATGATTTTGTCACAGGTGAAAGCAAAGAAGAGGCCTGCACTATAGCCCCAGCCCATGTACTCAGCATCTTTATGCGCAAAGTTGGAATGTACTGCTTGAGGGGACCATCTAAACATTTTTCCAGTGTAATCATTGACACACCAGAATGATCCATCAGGACTGAAAGCCATGAAATGAGTGAGCTGGAACCAGTTCTCATTGCCAACAGGTATGCATGTCGCAAACCAGTCTTCCTTGGAGTCTGTTGGGGGGTTTCTCTTCACAAGACGGCCATCTGATTTCACTGCATACAGAATGCCTTGAGGATCAAAGAAGAGGGCCCTTAGTGAGTTCCACATACCAGATCCTATTTTGGTGGCTTGGCGATAAAGCCAGGGCATGTTTTCATTGGTTGGAGCGGGGCCCTTGTAGAAATCCCCTTTGCCGGTTACTGCATATAAGACACCATTGGGATCAAAGAGGATACATTTGAAGCTGTCCCAGTCAACTTTGCCAACCTTTTTTGCAGTTTTGAACCATTCCAAGCCTTGCTCTGAAGGCATAGGTCCTCGGTACACATCTCCACCACGGACAGCAAACAGTTCCCCTTCAGGACTAAAGAAAACCCTGGAGGCATTCATTAGCTTCCCTAGAGGAACTGCTCGCCTAATGTAGTTGTCATCTTCATGACTGGGTGGCAATCCAGCTCCAGCAACATATTCTTTCCTGGTTACAATGAAGAGGAGGGTTTCTGAAAGGTAAGGGGAACAGATGTTAGGACCTAAACTACAGCAACAATTTGTTTTTATTTAACTTTACCTATAAACAGCATCATTTAGGGTTACAATATCCATTTCAACTGTGAGATCCATCAACGGTGTGAGTGCTTGTACAATTTACAAGCTCAGTTTTAGCATGATCTAGCATTTGGCATAAGTGAATGAGGCTTTAACTCCTGCACAGAAAGGAGACAATAGAAGTAAATTCTAAGGAGACTGGCAATGTAGAACAAGTACAACAGGACTGTATCAGAGGGGGGATTGGGGTTAGGAGAGATGTCAATCGGAATGATTGCGGAGGAACCAAGATAAATGTAGAATGCACACATGTAACTGAACAAATTTCACAAATGGCATAAATGAGATTGGGTATACAGCTAACTGGGGATATTTGAATGGTGGCAGTGCACGGTGTAACTAGCCAGGGACCCGTTTAATATGAATGCTGCTAAACCATTAATAGAACATCTAAAAGACCCTTAGATAACTGCATTAATTAACTTCCAATCCAAATATTATTTTAGTCCTATCCACACCTCCCCTGACTAATACATACACAGACAACATGAAGTTTATTTTTACACACTTCCCTATGCCTCTGCTTACCACTATGCAGGCAAGGACAAAAGGCTATTTCATTGTGGTGGACCACAGTAAAGAAAAATGGACAGGTCACTCTATCAGAAGGATCTCATGTCTGCAGCCTTTTCATCATCCCTTTATATCTGAGACAGGGGTCAGTCTGTGCCAAGGAAGTGACCAGAGGCTTTTTGAAAGAAAGCTTTTGTTTTGAGGTGTGAGCTTGAGGCTTTCCATTCATTGAGCTGTCCCGGAAGCCCAGAGACATTTGGAGAAGGCAGGCCACTCTAGCACTTTCCTCTCACATTAGCTCTGTAGCGCCAATGAAGTGGAAGATTACCTCCACAGCTAGGCTGACTGCTGGTTATTTGGTTTCTGCAGAGATCTATAGAAGGGCATATTTCAAGTACCAGGTCCAGATTGGAATGCCAACTTAACATGCTTGCTCCATGCTTTCCAAGGATTGCCCCCTTGTCGCCTTACTAGCAGGAAGAAGCTCCTGGTGTAAAAAAAAAATAAAATAAAAAATAAAAGTGGTGTTTAGGTAGTGTAGAAGAAAGGGGACATGCCACAGTGTTAGAGAGACCAAAGTCAGCATTACCTTAACCAATTTCACTGTCAACCAGTCAGCATGAGTTTTGTTCCCATACATCTCTTCAAGTTTCCATACTTAAGCAAGAGTATATGAAGAGTAGGGTTTAAAAAAAAATAAAAAAATTAAAAAACACAGAATCAAGTCAGTTCCTGTGTTAATCCAGCCTGGTCAGTCAGCACTTACACAGCCCAACAAACAAAAACAGTGCATGGAATGTTCCTTTACCCTATAGGTCAGACATTCTTAGCAGAAAGGAGAGATGTTATGCCACATGGAGAGCAAGGGGAGAATTTGTCTACAGAATCATCCAAAGATTCTAACTCTAGGACAATGTGGATGTGCAGGGAGTGGAGACAAGACAGTTACTCTGCCTGGAAATTTAACTAGGGTTGCCATTATTATTGAAATTAAAGCAGCCTTGCCAATTTGCATAATTAGTCACATTTGGTGACATGGGATAAGTTGAACAAGGACCAGTCTCTAAAAAGGTTACTTACATTGTGTGTCAGTATAGGCATTGTTATGCATGTGTGGTAGTGTGTTTCAGTGCATGCGCTGTGTAGAATTGTGACATTCTGGGTCTATACCATGTTGACGTTCTGACTGGATTTCTCTCACCGCTTTAAGAGACCAGTCACAGAGTTACCAGCTTTTACCTGGACAGCATTTTTGCAATACTAGCACCAAACAGACCAAGATACCAGCCAGGTGGCAACCTTAGAGATGACAAATCACTGGTCAGAAAAACACCTCCATTGACTAAAAATGATCAAAGCAGAAAATACAAAACAAAAACAGTAATGTGAACTTCCCATGCTACAGGGATCACTTACCTACTGTATCCATTATCACAGCGATCAGATTACAAACACCCAAATCTCTAGCGTTCCAGCAGGAATTCTTCGTGTTTGTGTAGACAAGGAAATGTCTATAGATATCTCTGTACAAGGTCAATATCCCTAGTGCATTAGCTTTATAGCCAGCACCCCTCCCTAAACACAGCTGTACCTGATTTAATCAGCATGGTTACCATACTCTGTGCTTATCTGGTAAAGGAAGGGTTAACTCTATCATTATACATGTGATCACCCAATAATTGATCGATTAAAGTACAACAAAGAATATGGTACTTTTTTCTATGTAGGGATATAGAGGACATAAATAAAATATATATTTCTTTGCAGTCACTTTCTGTTTTTATTTTGTATTGCTTTAGAGGGTTTCCTCATCCATCCTACATTCTATTTGTGTTTTCCATATAAGCTGCCCTGCTTTCTACAGTTTGATAGATATGTATGTGTTTATTCACTAAATAATTTCCTGTTATCTGCTCTCCAGTTTTGTCATCACAGCTCGGAAATCATAGGAACTCCTCCAACATGGTCATCTGAAATTCTTCCCCCTCGTCATTGGAACTCCCCCTCCCTCGTCATTAAAACGCCTTTTTCCATTGTCATCGGAACTCATCCTCCCTCGGGATCCCTGTGTCTGAAAAAGCTGTTTCCGCAAGGTAAGTAGAGTTACTGTCACACTCAGCTTATAGTTAAGGGCTTCACTGCAGCACAAAGAGATGGAACATTTTAGGGTTAAGACCTAATTTCTACGTCTAACCCTAAATGTGAGGTTCACATTAACCCTGGACTTAATTACAACAACAGGGGTACAACAACAACTTTAATGGCTTTATACTTTTTCCCCATGCAAGTGGTATACACCACACAAAGACATTGTCCCCTCCCAAGATCCTTCCCCTCCCAGAGGTCCCAGCGACTGACAGGACCTCTGGTCCCTTTGTCCCTTGTTTCTGCCACCCCAACACTGATCTTTCCACTTCCGGTGACAGGGGTCTTCTTCCCATAATCCTCTATGCCCGAGGGACAAAGCGTTGGTGAGGGGGGTCATTGTCCCTTTGTCTCCCAGGCACAGAACTCCCACCACTCAGGGTCTTCAAGAGCTTCTGTACCTGGGAGTCCCAGCGCGGGAAAGAATCCTGACATTCTAAATAAGGTATTAGGGTGGTCCGCGATTGGGAGACTAACGTATGAGCTCTCCCGAACAGAGAGCAGCAAAACACACGAATAGTCACAAATACATGGGGAAATCCAGGCAATAGAATAAAGACAATTCACGGACAGGTACAGTTCCCGCCACAATAGTTAAGATCCAATAGTGACTTAACGTAATGTATTGAAAACAAAATAGCAAAACCGAGTCAAGAATTGTCTCACCATTATTCACTGTGAGAAAAAGCCTCATTGTTTTTTGTTTTTTTTTATTAATTTTTTTTTTTTGCAGTGCAGATAATGGTACATGTGGACATGTGGTACCCCAACGGCAATCCACTGGTTCGGCAATTTGCATAACAATTGAGGTACATAAACATATGAACACAATTTTATAAATTTTGCAATAGCTTGACTTTCCAGATTAGAACTAATAGCAAAACAAAACTAGTGTGACATGTATGCGTAAAACAATTGTACGTTAAACTAAGGAGAGCATATGTTGGTTAACTCTCGTGTGACATGTTCACTATTGTAGTATGTAAAAACTTGGTATAGCATTGCTAGCAGGTGCTCTCTCAACGAATGTTGCATTAATTAAGCGTTTAACCAGGGTATTAGTATAATCACGTTTATCTAGGCATGTTAGATGTCGTCTGTTTCAGTGCAGCAAGGCTTGAAAAGATTGCGGGACAAGGCCCTCCAAGACAGCATGGACGTGGTGGTGTGGCAGCAGTCCAGGCCGCAGTGCGGCAGTGAGAGTCAGTGAAAGTCAGCCAACTCCTGTAGTCGGCACTGGCAGGGTGCATACCGGAAATGTCCCTGTTTGGGATCGGTGAATGTGCAAGGGCCGTTGGGGTCTTGTGGTTGTACCTTGCTGCTGATGTCAGTTGGCCCCAAGGGTGGTAGGTGCTTGGTACCGGCTTTCAGCTTGTGTCCATAGGTGTGGGGACTTGCTTCAGTGGCCGGAGGCTTCGGATGCCGCTGATCGGAGAGTGGGTCGGGCATGTGTGGCCATCTTGCGCTGCTGTGTGTGAGGGCTAGCGTTGGTGCCTGGGAGGCCCTTCTCTGTTCTCCCCCATTCTGATCTCCCACCTCGTCTCCGTCTGAGAGCCGCTCTGGGTGCTCTGGTCGGGCATCCGCTCAGGAGGCGCCTGGTGGCAGGTCGGATCCATGCCGCCGCTTCTTTTCTCGCTTGTTTGAAGAGCCACCCCCTGTTGCAGAGCCCAGACTATAGGCTGGTGCAGAACCGGTCAAGAAGTCCAGCGCGTGATCGGGTGGTGTGGCAGTGGACCTTTTTGCCGCCGATCGTGCCTGAGGCACCATCTTGTTTGGGCCTTGCCAACCCCTTGTACCAGCAAATGTTGTCGCTTGTGTGTGCTTAGTTGTGGGGGTAATCATCCCCAGCAAGGACCTGGATATCCCCTGCTGGTCCAGAGGAGAAGGTAGCTGGATGTCTTGCAATCCACGCTTACGAGCAGGTCCCTTGTCGGGTGATCAGCCGCCTCCCCCAGACTTCAGGTTCCGCTGCAGTGTAGGCCGCGTGGCCAGTTCATGTGTTTGCGTATCGTAGTGGTGTATCGTTTTGTTCCTCGTGTGATGCTATATCGTTGTCTGGGCACCGTGGGTTGTTAGCTTGATTGGTTTTGCCAGGATTGTCACTGTATGTGTCAGTATGTCTGTCAGTGTGTGTTTCTGTATGCGTGTGTGTCAGTATGTCTGTTAGTGTATGTCTGTCTGCTGTGTGTTTGTGTGTGTCAGTATGTCTGCCAATATATGTGTCTGTCAGTATGTGTCAATATGCCAGCATGTCTGTCAGTATATGTGTCAGTGTGTGTGCAAGTGTGTCTGTCCGTGTGTGTGTGTGTGTGTCTGTCAGTGTATGTATCTGTGTGTGTCAGTATGTCTGTCAGTGTGTGTGTCTATGTCGAGGCCCCTGCGCTCTGCCAAAGACCTACTCATATCATCTGTCCGTATGCCTACCTCTAATGTTCGCCTCCGATATTTCTCCAGGGCTGCACCTCTTATGTGGAACTCCCTTCAGTTCTCCGTAAAACTTTCACCCATTCTCTGCTCATTCAAAAAAATCATTGAAAACTCACTTCTTCAAGAAAGCATATCAATTAAACTGTTAGCAGGTTTTTATCCCCAATCCCCCATGACTCCTCTCCTGCAACTGTCAAAAATTACCTACTAAGCCCTCAATGAATACTTTTCTAATAAACTACTTTGAACTCCTACTTTTACCCTTTGTGTCACTAGATCCCACTTCCTCTAGAATGTAAGCTCATTAAGCAGTGCCCTCCACCTCTCTGTTCCTGTACGTCCAATTGTCTGGTTAAAATTACATGTCTGTTAGTCCACCCATTGTACAGCGCTACGGAATGTGATGGCGTTATATAAATAATAAAATAATAATAATAATGTTCATGTCGGTATGTCTGTGTAAGTATATCTGTCAGTATATGTGTCTGTATGTGTGTGTGTCAGTATGTCAGTGTATGTTTGTCTGCTGTGTGTTTGTGTGTGTCAGTATATGCCTGTGTATGTGTCAGTACGTCTGTTAGTATATGTGTCTGTCAGTGTGTGTCAGAATGTCAGTATGTCTGTCAGTATATGTGTCTGTGTCAGTTTACGTGTCTGTGTATCTGTATGCGTGTCAGTGTGTGTATCTGTATTTTGTCTGTGTGTGTATAAGACGGATTTGGGAATTGTTACTAACAATAAACTAGGCAACAATATGCAATGTTAATCGGCAGTTGCTAAGGCCAGTAAGGTATTGTCATGTATAAATATGCGATTAATTCTCAGAATAAATATATAATTTTTCCTTTTTTTTTAAATCACTGGTAAGACTTGAATATGCTGTTCAATTTTTTGAAAGAAGACTCATATTGTTGGTAACCTCCATTAAAGTAAATTTCAGCGGCACACCAAATACTTTGCTTATTGATGCTGTTTAGAGTTGAGCAAACCCGGACTGTAAAGTTCGGGTTCGTACTGAACATTACGTTTTTTGGACCCCGGACCCGAACACGGACATATCAGTGTATGTTCGGGTTGGAGTTCAATGTTCAGCGATTTAATGGCGCGTTTTGAAATGCTGCAGGGCAGCCAATCAACAAGCGTTTGACTCGTGTGTCCTTAGAAGCCATCCCAGCCACGCCTATTAATGGCATGGCTATGATTGGCCAGTGCAGCATATAAGCTGGAGTCACATAGCGCCGCATGTCACATGAGCTCTTATTATCGTAGGGATAGGATGCTGCCGCTTTCAGGGACAGATTAGGAAAGAATTCTGCAAACTAGTACATTAGTGGGGTGCACTTCATATCTGAGAGAGACATAGAAGCGTCAAATAATGCGCTTACATCGGAGTTTTAAAAAGTACTTTTTTTTTTGGTGCTAAATAGTACATTAGTGGGGTGCACTTCATACCTGAGAGTCAAATAGGCACGTCAAATAATGCGCTTACAGCACAGTTCTAAACATTCTAATTGTTTTGCTGCTAAATAGTACATTTGGGGCGTGCTCTTGATATCCGAGAGTCAAATAGAAGCGTCAAATAGTGCGCTTACAGTGCAGTTGTAAAAAAATCTAATTATTTTGCTGCTAAACTGTTAAATAGTACATTTGGGGAGTGCTCTTCATATCTAGGAACACATCAATTGAAGATTTTCGATCTATATATCCTACTCATGCTTCTATACTTGAGCCAGTTTGAATGCAGGCTCATTAAAATGTGAGTAGGATTTTCTACTATTTGTATATACATAGTTGAAAATTGGGATATTTACCAGTACGATATTGCCCTATATGAGTTTTATTGTTTCAGGGGCATCTGGACAAAGATCTTCTTTATAGTATGTTCTATGGTATATACATTTATTTATTTCTAATTTGTGTATAAATACATTAGGACACACTTTTG